AAGATTGGATCTTTAATATACTAGGAACATTAAAATTTCACATTCACAATAAACATTCACACTTTAATGCAATTGATTTGCATGATTGTGAAATAACAAGTTTATGTGAAAAATTGAACATACCAACTTAAGCACACATTATAACTTCATAATCATGCTTAAAAGGTTTTTAAATTGCAGTAGATTAGGGATGCAACAATGCATTTAATCTACCCTTGACATGCTTGCATTAATCAAGGCATAAAGATTTAAAAATTTTGTTGAAAACAAAAAAAAAACCCTTCAAAAAACAAGTTTCTGGTTTGATTTTGGCTTCTGGACAGTCCTATAGTGGGTTGATACTGATTTAGAACGATGATTCTACCCAAAAACACTATTTTTGAGACGAAATCCGAGTTCTTAGGCCAAAATCAGAAAATTACGAGATTAAAACTATTTTAAAAACGTGCTTCTAATCTAACTAGAAAAGCAAAACCATAATTTAAATCTATTTTAAAACACCTTAATTAATAACTAATTGCAATAATTAAAAAGAGCGCGGCTCCGATACCGCTGTAGGGTTTTGTAGAGACCCATTCTACGCGAAAAGGAAACCCCCCAAGACCCGCCCCAATAACTAAAGCAATTAAAGCATGCATAAACATAATTAAACAATAATTAGAGAAAGGGAGAAAGAAGTTATACCCTCGTAGCGTGCTTTGCTCACTAATCGAGCTCTTACTTCGAAAGCTCAAGCCTCACAATCGTGACGGCCTTCAACGACTCGTACCCACGACCTGAACCGGACGGTCTTCGTCTCGAGGGTTAATCGAGACTTGACTAAGTATAAAACTAGAGTTTTATGAACTAAAAGGCTTTCTCAACAATTGGAGATACCTTTTTGAGTTCCACTCAATTTGTTCTCCAAATGCCCCAATCATGGGGTATTTATAGAGAATGGCAACTTGTATCCCCATTCATGATCAATGTGGGATCTTGTACATTTCCTAATAATTTATTTAAATAAAAAATAAATTATAAAACAATGCAATCAACAATCAACAAGTATCATGAGGAGAGGAGAGGTAAGGTGAGGACCATAACCAGGGGGAGGACCATTGCCTTGCTCCCTAAGGGAAGCCTCCAAGATTTGGTCCCCACTCCTCCAAACCGGCAACAAGGACAAGGCAGGCTGGCAGCCTGCCTTGGCTACCAAGGTTGCCAGCTAGCGCCTGGCAATAAGGCTGGGCAGCCAGCCAGCTAGCATACCCTTGTCAGCACGCCCCAGCACATGCGTACTGCTAACGAGCCACACATGTTGTTGGGCGTTGCTTAGCGTAGCGCTGGCCCTAGGCATATGCACGCACAGCCTAGCGTGCTTGCTGTCTAGTGGGTATCGTTAGGCCCAGGCACACGCACGCATCGCCCAGCGAGCTTGCTGGCTAGTGCGTGGTGTTGTGCCATGCTCCCTTATGCATGCGCCTAGCAAGGCACGCATGTTGGGCGCCAGTGCTAGCAAGGCATGTCCTTGCGATAGCACCTGGGCACGATATGCATGCGTGTGCGCCAGTGCTAGCAAGGCCTAGCCTTGCGATAGCAGCTGGGCACTAGCGCCTAGCACGCATGGCATGCTAGGCTTGCGCCTAGCCATGAGATGTGCGTGCTAGCTCGAGCTATCCTAGCGTCCACATGGCTAGGCCAATGTGATACTACGGCTACGCTCGAACTTGTTGCTTGTTGATTTTGCGACGCTCGGTCTCGACGCCCTATGCTCGATATCCGACGTATGTGTTCGTAATACTCTAGTGACTTATCAATCCCTTCGGATTGATTCGTCGGTTCGGATCGGCAGTTCGTTTGGGTTCGACCCAAAGGGTTCAGTCAAGACAAAGCTGTAATACTAATTGTTCATTAATATTACTAATCGGAAGCGGCCTCCATCCAGGCATTCCGATCACTTGATCTCACTGAAGAATTAGCTTCCTGATAACTCTAAACCCTTTATTAGAATAATACACTTGTTGGAAGGAAACCATTCCTTTCACACAGATCATCCGGCCTCATGGTGTCTGCTGCTCTTGACAGATGGCTTGATGGCGCATATGTTACTTGGTTGTCTAACACTTTCGCACCGGAAGGTAATATCCTTGAGAACACAGGGTTTGTTCAACAAGTTTTCGCAGACAGAGCTGCCTGTCCAGATGGACATCTTTGCCGCCTGACCCCTGAAAAGGGGCCGGCTGCTCACACGGTTGTCTGAGGGCCAGAGTGGACGGACATGCAGTCTATCTGACCCCCTCGGTTTGATTGCAAAAACCCCATTGAGGGATTCTGAAAATAGTCTGGGTAGGTCGACGTTGGAGTCGACTCAGACGTTTAAGGTAGGGAGGAGGCACCTAGTCTTTGAATTCGACTGTATGCCGCTCCTATCAGCAGTTGGTACAGACTGCTATGTAGTCATCTTAGTAGTACTCTCCCCACAAACGGCGCCAAATGTTTTGGGTTTTTCTGATGTGTTCTACGGGAGAGTTACAACACCAAGACTGACCTCTAGCTTCATGTACCTGCAAAACAACGGATACCCCCGGGGGTGGGAGCTCCGCCTCCGACGATCAAGTTAGAACGTGTATGAGGAGTAAAGTGCGGAAAGTAAATGGGATCAGGTTCCTCTGAAAGAGAGGAGTGATCAATCCGGCTGTTTGTGACAGCCTCAATATCCGAGCATAAGCTCTCTGATTTGTGAGAATTGAATGAGTATTCAATTCGGGTCCCCTTTAACTGATGTGAATGACCAGTATTTATAGCGGTTTTGAGAGAGGTGTCCCTTAGGTTATTAACCTAGTTTGATGGGCTTCCATCGGTTTACGGATTCTAGAGTATCGGGCTTGAAGCCCATTTTTCCCTTTGAATGACACATGTCGCGGCGGCATTGGTCCACTTGTTAAGGGTATTTGTACCCTAAACTATCACTAATAGAAAAAAAAAATTATATACTCTCTTTGGGACCACAAACCCCAAAATCTAATCAAATCCTACATTTTTTTCTCTCCTCACTACCCCCACCTCTCCCACTTTTTGTTTTCTTACAATATAATAATATATAAGAAAGTCCTTTATACAATAAAAATATGTTTAAAATGGATCCACTTGTAGTTTTCTTAAACTACGTGTCCTTCCCAACGTTCCAAGTAGTATGGGGCGGAGGGAGTAATATAACTATTTTTTAATTTTCATATATATTTAAGTATAAAAATAAGGTCAAACTAATTCACAGCCATGTATGCAAAGTTTGATCGTGTAACAAACTATTTACTCTGTATTTGTCAACTTTGATCATCAATATATATATGTCAGAAAAAAAAATTATTTTTTAACAATCCCAACTTTGAGATATTCGCTTTTAATAATTGCAAGTTGAAATTATTATTTTATAATCCGAACTTTATTATTTTGTAATTCGTTAGTCAAACACTTTATAATCCTAAGGGGCTAAACCTCCTATTATCATATGGTTTTGGGATGAAACATCCTTTGTCTTGTGAAGTGAACTCTTTCTCTTGATTTGCCAATATAGCCCAGACCCGTAATTAACAGATTGAATGATTTCTTTTTAGTTTTTAAAAATCGAGATTGAAGGAGTTTTAAATGAGCTTATAAATGATCACAAACAAGCATATACATAGATGAGCATAAGTGAGCTACTCGCGAGCCCAAATGATTTGAGCACTGAGTTTATTAAGTTGGGCTCACTCTTGAAATTTTTTAGCTCGTTTGTTTATCAACATACGAATTTTGACCGATCGAGTTTGTTCACTAGTTGTTATGAGTGCATTGACTCATCAACATCCCTAATTTCTATTACTACCTCCGTTTTTTTTATGTGCAACTTTGAGGAATATTTGTGAGACATAATATATTCCAAAGTTGCACATAAAAAAAACGGAGGTAGTACGTCTTTACATATTTTGTTTGAACGTAACATTAGATAAGAACATGTCTAAGTCAAATTTGAGTTATTAAACATTTTTTTTATGATTCTTCTTAAAAATGTTTCTTTTGGTGCCAATCATAAGGAGTTTTCAAAATTTTCACTTAAATTCTGTCAGGTTTCACTTAATTGGCTTAGGGTATATTTAGATTATTTATAACGAGTCTGAATTACATGCACTTTCAAAATGTCATCCCAATTTTAATGAATTTATATTCAGGTCTAACTTGATAGAATTTTCGAGTTGAGTAGATTTTCGATAGGATTGAGACCACTAATTCCTATCACATTTTTTCCCTCTCTTTCCTCAATATAATCTTATTTATAAGTCCAATCACGTACATCTACCTCCTCTTTTTCAATCAATATATTAATCTAGCTACATCTACATTTTCCCTCCATTTTCTAGATATAATTTCAAAATCTATATTATCTCTCTTATTCGTTCCTCAATTCAATCTCCATTATTCACCATTATTTACCGTGAAACAAATCAACTTATGAATGTCATGCTCAATATTAGATCTATGGTCACTCTTTTGCAACAATGGTTGAGCTCTTTTTCATCATGATATATGATATTTTAGGTTGATCCTACATTCCTACAATAATTAGGGCATAGTCTATACGAAGTAAAGAACCGCTACTCAGTATTGAAGATTCAACCAATTTTCTATCAACTAAACTTGCTGTGTCTATGTAAGATGTGTTATCATATTATCTTATATTCTTATCCATCTTTGAGACCATAATATTAACTTCAATTTAGTGGCATAGCCCTAGCTATAGTGCCTATAGAATAAAGTTCTCTAAAACCATAGTTGAAAAAATCATAAAATGTCTCTTAAAAGGCAAGTAGTGGACTTAATTTATGTGTTTATTAAATTCTAAGACAATTTATGTGTTTTGCATTACATTAATCTTATATTCTCTCTAGTTTTCATTTCATGAACTCAGCTTCAAACTAATTACTCTGTATCTGTTAGGAGTATTACTTGTTTATTACTTATAGAGCTACTAATCAGCCAGAAGATTGAGCAACTCAACCAATGTTATATTGCAGACGTACAGAAAACATTACAAGTTTAAAAGTTAAAACAGAGTTCATAATACAACGTTATACGATATACCTAATCCTTTTCTCAAGAGAGAGACGACAATGTGGTATAGCTGATGTTGAATCTCAAGAACTATCAACTACGTATCTAGATACAGCACAGACTCACGAGGGTATATGCATAACTGGAACAATATTGCTAATTTACTGTTGTAATATATGTCAAAATTTTAGAAATCAGATTTATTTTCGCTATTCCAAGCTGAGAAAATTGATACTCGGCAACGAGGAATAAATGAATGGAAGAACATCACTGCTTCCTGTAACAATTATACAACAGATGAAGAGGAGGAGCTCCATCTCATGAAAATGATGAGATTAGAAGTTCTTGAGTATATTGTCAGTTGAGACCCCATCTTCTGTCAATATAGAAGTAATTTCCTGCAAAAAGCATGCATTTGTTAATATAAACTTCTGAAAGTTTCCAAAACAGACACCACTAACTAAATCTGGTAAGAAAATAAAATGCAATTTCATGTCTCAACCATCTGCTGCCAAAAAACAACCAAAAAATCTGACACGTAGTAGTTCATCTATTGCAAAATTCTTCAGGTTCAAAAATTTGTGGTTGACAATAGCAAAACAAAGATGTATAATTAATTTCATATTTAGTTCGTGAACTTAACATGATAGACAACAAAACAAGGCTATGTGCAAATTCAGTTTGGATAATACAACCAGATTCTAATGTCCCTAAGAAAAAGGCTCCCTCACTCAAACCCACTGGCAGCACCAAGTGCAACATTTCAGGAACCCCCAAAGATACCCTAAACCAATCCCAGCAGCTGAAGCAGCAGCAACTAATAGAACTGAATATCCTCACCAGCGGTGACAAACTGTCAGCCAACGACTGAATACCGATAATTCTCTTGGACCCTCAAATGCATCAGAGCTAATGATAACACTACTAGTAGTGGGTACAGGAGTGGGTATGGTTGTGGATGTTTGGCCAGGCGCTCTGAAACATGAAAAGTGTCGTTTGAGGATGGAGGTGACAGGTATACAGATGAATTTGGGAGGATGAAGGTGACAGGTATGACAAGGGGTAAAAGATGAGGAAAGATATGGGGATTTGGATGAAGAAAGAGAAAGCATAGTGTTCATTTATTGTGGTTTATTCTCTCCTAAATTGAGTAAATTTTGTGGGGGTTTTGAGGGTTTAGTGAAGAGCAAAAACCCAGAAAAATGGTGGATGGGTTGTTGCAGAGGAGCGGAAATGAAGATGATAATGGAATGGGAGGAGAGAGAAGAAGAGGAAAGGGGGAGAGAAAGGGTTCGTTTTGTGCTGGTTATGGTGGCTGGTGGTGGCAGTGGTAGTTGGGAGAAGGTATTGTTCGTGGTGGTAGTGATGGTTAGGGTTAGGTCATGGTGGCTAAGGGAGGGAAGCTAGAGTGGTGGCACGGGATGGAAGGAGCTTGGCTATGCCGAAGAGGAAGAGATAGATAGGAAGAAATAAAAAATAAAAAAGCATTTAAAAAATAAAAATTAAAATTAACCAGTCCAATAGGTTACTGGTTACAGGGATTATTTTGGGAAGGTGTGTCTTCTATAGTCTAAATTATACTATAATAACCTATAGTTGGGATTTGGAAGAGTGGTTATATTTCAGATTATGGTTGTGAATTTTCCAAAATTATCACATTAAAATCCAACCCCTAACATGCAAGAAGAACCAATTAACAATTTCAATTATTTTTCGATAAACAATTTCAATTATTTCAGTGTTTTATTTCTTGTGGCCTCAGAAGAAGTATATTCTTTGTGTCGTACAGAGATTCGTATGTCTCAGCTCCCCCCACCCCCCTCCTCCCAACCCTACAGTAGACATGAATTACATTACCTAAACTTGGCTGCTAGTGTTGAGCACTAGTACATGACCAAAGAACCAGACCTGGCTACATACAAGTTGAAAGCATCGTTACCTGGTGGGAACACTTTAGGTGAAATAAAAGTTCAAGCAACACAGTTCGAAAGTCCTGTTGGAGGCATTGGGGTAGTTCTATAGTGCTTGCTCATGGTGACAGGTTTCTAACAACTCTATTTCAGCTCTCATATTTTGATCGCATGTGAGCAGAAAGAACCATACTCTATTTCATACAATCAAGTAGGTGCCTACCAATCAAAATATTTCAACCTATCTTAGAATTTTAGTGAGTTTTCATCATCAAACCTAATAGAACATTAATAATTGAATCGAAGGTCATGTACTCATTCATATACAAGTGAAAGCAGTGTTTTTTAAATGGGAGATTCCAGGTGAGATATAAAGTCTGAGCAACAAAGGACGGAAGCCCTGTTAGAGGCATTGGGGTAGTTCTATAGTGCTGTGCAGAAGGTGACAAGATTTTAACAACTCCATTTTGGCTCCCATTTTTTGATCGCATGTGAGCAGAAAGAACCAACCCCAAACTAACTCATACAGTCATACCAAACAAAACATGACATCATATCTTAAATTCTTGGGACGTATCATCATCAAACTTCATTAAGCATCAATAATTGCATTTAATATGTAACCTATTTCTAAATCACCCAAGGAGATGCAAGAGAACAAATTAAAGGGGAAAATGAATTGAGTATTATTAATACATTAAATGAGATAGATGTTCATCATAGGCCCTTTTGTCCAGTTCACTCTCCTTACCCTATTGCAATGGCACCATCATACCCACAACCGGCACACTATAGCTACTAGAGTAAGCAACCACCACCGCTCCTGAACCACAACCTTAATGAATATCAAAAGTTTCAACAACCCAATCCATCCTATAACCAGAAAGCCGCATCTCCACATTCTCAAACAGGCCTAACATCTAGAAAAAACTTTTGAAAGATCTTATATGAGACAGCCACCTTTTTCTAAGATGATGGGTTTGTTTAATGCTTTGAAAGCCAATAACAGCCATAAAGGCTCTGAATCAGGAATATTAGTTGGGGCTGGAGCCAACCTCTAAAAGTTCTAGTGCATCCATCATGGAAGACTTTGCCTCCATGAAAGGATGAGTCCCTTGCCAGAGAAATTTGAGAAATGAGATGAAGAGGGATGATAGTGATGACATTTAAGGTAATGTGGAAACAGCACACTGAAAATGGTTTTAGCAATAAGATTTGGTATTGATAAAGGATGGAGGAGTGGCAGCAGGAGGAGGAAAAAATATACTTTCTTTGTTTTTGTTTAGTAGCAACATTTCTGTTTTTCAAGTTTGCCAATGCATAGCTTCATATTTAAATTATGCATTTGTAAAAATTAGATTTAAATATAATTCCATATGATTATGTTTTTATTGAAGTATAAATCACGAAATGTTATTGAAGTTGAGTATGTAAACGCTGTACCTTGTTGAATTGTTGCAAGTTAAAAAAAAAAAAAAAAAAAAAAAAAAACCCCGAAGGAAGTAATAGGTACCACAAGGGAGGACTTGGAGGTAGGGGTGGCAATTCGGGTTAGCGGGCCGGGTTCGGGTAAGATTTCGGGTTGTGCTTAGAAACTCTCAAAAATAGTGTAAAACTGAATATTATTACAAAATATGAAATTTAGGTCAAATCGGGTTGAATTCGGATTGTTCAGGTTCGGGTCGGGTTTCTCTCAGTAATTTCGGGTCGGGTTCGGGTTATGTTATCCAATCGGGTCAAGGATAATTTCAAGCAAATGGACTTGTTTACGCATTTACATATAAGGATTGTCAGCCCCACTTGGAGGAGTTGGAAAATGGGCTTTACGCATTTACATATAAGGGACTTGTTTTCCTTGATCAATACTTTTTCTTAACAACTCCGTCAAAACCTTAGCACATTTAATAACTCTTATTTAATCCATTGGTATCAAGCAAATGGACCTCCTTACACAAAAACTACAAGTGTTTGAAATAAAAGATTGATTTGGGCACTGATAATTTCAAGCCAAGAACTTCTAGGAACATGTGTATAGGTTGTCTAGTTTCATAATCATGTTATAAAAAATTACATCCTCCATTTTATTTTACATGTAACACTTCTGTTTTTTCACATTTGTCAATGCATAACTTCAACCAATTATATCTTTAATTATGCATTTGTGAAAATTATAAAAAGATTCTAATAAAGTAGACATTGAGACGAAACTAACAAGATCCGATGTGATATATGACTATGTTTTTCTTTAAATGTAAATCACGAACTGTAATTGAAGATGAGTATGTGAAGTGACTATTAAAATGTTAAGTAAAAAAAAACGGAGGAGGTACAAATGTTGAGACAATGTGCATCTTCACAGGCCATCAAAAGCATTGTCTATGGATCTTTTTTTTTCTTTTTTTTTTAAATTTTTATGATAAAGGGTTGAAATTTTCAAAATACTTTATATGATAGCTTTATCTAGAAAGCTAGTCCAAGACACTCTTTTTACCATTTTGACGTATAGGCCGAATTTTTTGGGACGAATGTCAGATCCTCTGATTCCTACTCAGACTGAACACCTTAATCTGAGTCTAAGCAACATATATAAAACAAGATCCATACCTGTCAGCCTATGTTCCACAAGATAACATTAAGCTTAAGCCAAAAAAGAGCATAATGTGAGTAGATTCAAGGCTTGCCTTAGAGAACACCACAAAAATATATTTTGCTTACATATGGCTGAGAAGTTTCTTATTTTCCTAATTGGTTTTGTGTCTTATAGGAGGACCTTAATATAATGTTTCCCTTAGTTGTCTGACTTGTGTGTTGACTGCCAAGATAAAAAATTATGAAAAATATTGAGTTGTGGGAACTTCGATCTCTGTCATAAGGATATAAGATGAAGTTAAAGACGTACTCTAAATCAGTAACTCTTACTTCTAGAATGCTTTTCTACATCTTGATTGTGATTTCTTCCCTACGTTATTCAATTTACCAACATTCAATGAAGATATCAGGGACCTTCAATTTCATGACGCATGGATATGGTAAGGGTGACGAAGATGAGTCATCTACGTCTGTTCAGTACTCAATTCTTCTTATTCTAAATTAGCAAAACAAAGGTTGCTGAGAATTCAAATTAGAGAGGTAGTCTAATCTTCACCTCTTACTACAATTATTTGTAGGAACAAAGTCCATCCAAAGATTGAGTTTTCACCTGGAGTCCTGGACTACTTTCTCTTATTAGTACAAATACCACAAACTATGTTTATATGCAGACTAAATTCCTTCATTTGTGTACTTATTCTACTCCAATACCCTTATTTTCGAACACAAACAAACTAGAAGAAAAGCTGATGCTGATGGATCATTGGAACTCTTGATAATCTATGAAGCAATAAAAAAAATTCTAGAACTAAACAAATACCATATTACATCAGCTGCATCCTTTAACTGACCATTAAAACAATTATGGTATGACAATATTATCTTTAAAAATGACAGCTTAGCAAAATATTGTGCCACAAATAGCAGTACTCATTAAGAAGAAAATAAGAAAAACATTGCAAATCAAACCATTAAAGATAAATTACCTCTGTCATCTGTTTCTGCCCACATAGTACAACACCAGTAGAGTTTGGGTTTGAAATGTTTTTGGATCTACAAAAGGCAGCCTGTTTAATTGCCCAAAAACAAGTGTTAATATATGATTACCCCATCCAATGTACTTGGAAATAAAATTTGCCACACCTATCAACAAAAATTCTATAGTACCTGCACATAGCCAGCTTCACCAGTCCATTTCTCATCCGGTTGTGACAATACTGGAACTATCTTAACACCAGAAGATTCCCAATCTTTGAATCTATCCTGTATCATGAAGATAAGACATAAGAAAAAGAGCTGAAAAGAGAGAGATTTTCTGTAATTTATTCTATTTCATATTTTCATAGAACAACAAAGTAGTTTCGTGAACCACCTGATAGGCCATCCTTTGCAAATTTCTAGCTCCATAATAAAGCCTCACATCTGACCTCTTGTCAGCACTGAAGCCAGATTCAATAAGAGATCGGATTGGACTGCAAATTGTCAAGAGGAAAATTGCAAGTCAGATAGCAGGTATAGTAACATAGTCATGAAGGAATACAGCATTAGCTCCTTAAAAACAGACAAGGAAGATTCACAAAAACCAAAAAAGGCAAGCCACAATGCACAAATACCATCATATGAAACCCAAAGACATCAAGCCAAACTGCAGTGCTAAAGGACTTGTTAATCGTAATACCAATTTCAATTAAACAATATAGTAAGATACAAATCCGATTCCATTTTATTAACTCAAAACTAGGCAAGGAACTAAGCCCCCCAATAATCAATTCAACCAAAAAATTCCAATTGCCCAAAGCCTGACACTATGGTTGGATAACATTAGTGAAGGGAAAGGGAGGTGAAGGAAAAAGAGGGAAGGGGGTAGATGGAACTTCCATTTTCCTTTCAAATCTCCCCAACAACGGAGGGATTTGGTTTATTTAAACGGGAAGGAAATTGGATCCTTCCAATTCCCTCCTTGCATAAGGTATCCAAACAAAGGATGATGCATCCTTCCTTTTCTATTCTCTTCATTTCCCTCTATTTCTCTCTATCCAAACATACTGTGAGTAAAGAACAAAGCTTGATATCAAATTCGAAGACTATCAAGAGAATCACCAAATCCACAAATAAGAATCCAACAGTAGCTATATTCTGTATATATTATACTCTCTTGTATTCTAAAAGCTTTGGAAGTAAACTCTTTTATGGCATATACAGCAAAAAAAAATAAACCTAGCATTCCCTATTAACATTCACTGAAGTTGAATGATCATTGAGCTGGTATACAAATGCACAATAACATTCTGGGAAAATGTCAAGTTATTTAATTGGCAAAATTACATATAGTTCTACTTCAAGTCACATCACATAGAACAATTGAAAATTGGTAGAATCTGATAACAAAAAGAAGAAAACCTGATTCCAGATCCAGTGGCGAAGATAAGAAGAGTGGGAAACTCCTCGGGAGGCGAAAGGCGATCGACATCAAAGCCATTCCCCATGACAGCGGTCAATTCAACAACATCCCCTTTATTCAACCCACACAAAAGCTCAGCGGTAGAGCCTGCGACTTTCTTAACAAGAAACTGAAACTCGCCGCGCTCAGCGACAAGCAGCGGAGGAGAGGCGATAGCGAGGAAAGAAGGCTTAGGAGAGTCAGGGACTTTGAGCTGCAAGTATTGGCCAGGGCGAGTGTAGGAGGCGGCGATGTGAGGGGCGTCGGAGACGTTGATGGAGATGTGGAAGAGTGATTCGGCGGCGGGTTCGATGAGAGAGATGGGGGTGGGTGTCCAGAGAGTGGTGTCTTGGCGGACGGCGGAGGCGGCGAGGGAGAGGAGTCGGCGGCGGTGGTGGCGGAGAGGGGGGGTTAGGTGGCGGAGGAGAGACATGGAAGGGGTGGAGTGGAGGTGGGCATGAGGGTGGTGGAGAGGTGAAAGGTGGGGTAAAGAGGAGAGAGAAATGGACATGTTTGTTTTGGGGGGTTTATATGAGGTTTGGTTAGGTGGAAGAAGGGAGAAAGATGTAGTAGAGATGCCGCCGGTGAGGGTGGTCAAAGATGGAGGTGGTGTAATTTTGTAATGGAGTTTGGAGTTGTGGTGTGAATTGTGATGGGAGGTTTGTAATCACTTATCCAAATCAATTGGAGCCCCATGATCCATGCTTCTCCTATACCCACCAAAATGTTCAATGTTTATATTAGTATTTTCGACAAATTAATTTTTATTTCTTTTTGTGGAATATAATAAAGCTTGGTTTAGGAAAAATAAATTCTAACGAGTGAGTTTCAGGTAAGTAAAACACACTCGAATTGGTCTTATTCGATAAGAGCATTAACAGTGGTTAGATACAACTTATGTCCCTTTATTTGACATGTCATATCTTAGCTTTAAGCTTCCAAAGCTAATTACTTCCTCGATGGAAAGATACAATATTTTCTAACTTTGGGCACAAACTTACTAGACAGCATCCCAACCGGTTTGCTTGCAAATTGACTACTTACGTTTCACATGCTGACAATTTCACGACAAGTCCCATTTGAGTTGACCTTCCTATATAGGTGATCATATATATTGATGAATGTTTAGGTGTAGGTTAGTGTCATTGCATGTTCATCCTTTATTGTAATTGTTTATGATGTTTGTTGCACATGTGGGAAATTTGGCCGAATCAACCCTCAAACACCTTACAGACGATTTAACACACATTTTCGACAACTAAAATTAACCATACTACTGGACACTGCCCTCATATTACTCATAAGAGCCATAACAACTAGCAATTGCTTCCCTCGCTTCCTGACCTTTGACAGCTTGAACTCACAGGAGTCACAGCAGCAAATTACTCTTGTACTTGCTCCTTTGTTTTAAGATTAATTCACTCAACCATTTCATATCCACCTAATTGAGTGCGAAATGAACAAGTCAATTGTAACATATCCACCTAATTGAGTGCGAAAAGACCTAGTCAATTGTAACATATCCTACCAGTAGATTAAGATAATAATAGGCATGGCTACACAACTTCTGAATATCTTAACCAACATCACACCATCCAACACCCGTGTCCCAACACACATTGAAACCACCTTTGGATCTGTGATCTTTAATGGTGTAAATCTAAAATACCTGTTTGCTTAGCTGCAAGAAGAGCTTATTAATATATACATTTTCACCTGGAAAAACAGGCAGGCTATATGAAAATGTAATTAGACCATTTAAAATCTGGACTAAACAAAAAGAACAAAAATATACATTGTGTCCATATGTTGTCTCCTGCTCCCGTTATTCAATGACAGGGAGCCGAGGGGGGTTGGGATTGTACTAGCAGGCTAACCCTCTCTGCTCCGTTAAAATGGAGCGTCATCATCACACTTGTGCAACAAAGATAAATAAGACAAAATGGAAAAACCCTTGTTCATATGTTTGGCTTCCCAAAAAAATCCTTCTCAACTCCGGGAGCTGGTAAAGCCAATGTCAACTAAAAATTATTTTCGCAATTATCAAGGCAAAGAGCCAAAGGAAAAAAAAGTCAAAAAACAAATATCTCAGATTTCCTTAAGCTGCAGATTCCTTGGCAATCTTCTCAGCCTTGGCAATGACCTCCTCGATTCCTCCAACCATGTAGAAAGATTGCTCGGAAAGGTCATCATATTTACCATCCAAGACACCCTGCAAATTTTATGCCACAACCAACATTATACAAACTGAAATAAATATAAGAAATCGAGCAAATAACAGATTGCATGATCACATATCAATAAAAGGAACAAGTGCAACCTGTCTATAACCAATCAACCAAAAGCAAAACTAGACTAGAGAAGCAGTAAACTCATAAATCTACACATTTGACCAGCATGAGAAAAATCAATTACCTGGAAACTCTGGATGCTCTCCTTCAACTCAACGTACTTTCCGGGAGCACCCGTGAAAACTTCAGCAACATGGAAGGGCTGACTCAAGAATCTCTGGATCTTACGGGCACGAGCGACAGTCAATTTATCATCTTCACTTAGCTCATCCATACCCAAAATGGCAATGATATCCTGAAGATTCTTGTAGTTCTGAAGAACCTTCTGTACACCACGAGCAGTGTTGTAATGCTCTTCTCCCAAAATGTGAGGTGAAAGCATACGGGATGTAGAGTCAAGAGGGTCCACAGCAGGGTAGATACCAAGCTCAGAGATCTGGTCAAAAAGTGGGGAGTTAGAAAATAAATTAGATGCACTTACATAAAAGCATTTGATCATCCCTCAAGTTACCTGTCGGGACAACACAGTTGTGGCATCCAAGTGAGCAAAAGTTGTAGCAGGAGCAGGATCTGTCAAATCATCAGCAGGCACATAGATAGCCTGGACAGAAGTAATAGAACCCTTCTTGGTAGTTGTAATACGTTCCTGAAGACCTCCAAGATCGGTAGCCAAGGTAGGTTGGTAACCGACAGCAGAGGGAATACGTCCAAGTAAAGCAGACACCTCTGAGTTAGCCTGAAATCAATCAAAAAACAAAAATTCATAAATTAAGCAACAACAAATTTTTATAATAACGGGTAAAGAAACAAGTTATTTAACAAGAATTCGTACTTGGGTGAAACGGAAAATGTTGTCAATAAAGAGTAGCACATCTTGTCCCTCAGCATCACGGAAATGCTCTGCAACAGTTAGTCCAGTAAGACCAACACGGGCACGAGCACCTGGGGGCTCATTCATTTGTCCGTAGACAAGTGCACATTTGCTGTCAGCCTACAACAGAATGATAAGCTAAAGGATGAGCCAATGTAAAATAGACACATAAATGAAACATCTGTTACAATGCAAAAACGTGACAGACCTGCTTTTCACCTAGCTTAATGACACCACTCTCAATCATTTCTCTGTACAAATCGTTACCCTCACGAGTACGCTCACCAACTCCGGCAAACACGGAGAAACCACCTGATCATGACAACCAACATCATAAACCTACTGAAACAAAGCTATTAAATTCTATGGAGCAAAGGTCCCATTGCAAACATACCATGAGCTTTGGCAACATTGTTGATAAGTTCCATAATAAGCACAGTTTTCCCGACACCAGCACCTCCGAACAGTCCAATCTTTCCTCCCCTTTGGTAGGGAGCTAGAAGATCAACGACCTTGAAAAGGCAAAAACCAGGCAAAGCGATATATACAAGTTTCTCAAACAAAGCACCATAACGTCACAACAGTTCAAAACAGGAGATGGGAGTTATAGTGTTAAATGCACCTTAATTCCAGTAACAAGAATCTGCTGCTCAGTTGCTTGTTCAACAAAGGCAGGTGCTTCTCTGTGAATGGGGAGATAGTGGTCGGTTGCTGCCAATGTCACCACAAATGTCAGCATAGTAACACCACATTCTTAAGACTAATCAAATCTTCATGATAATTAGTAAATGATAAGAGTAATCAGCTACTTACTCAGCTCTCCCCTATGATCAATTGGTTCTCCAATAACATTCATAATACGACCAAGGGTAGCTCTTCCAACAGGAATCTACAAATATAAAATACATTTTTCATGATGAGAACAATTTTCATTGAAATTAACAAGCCCAATACAAGACTTATTGAACCCAAACCATTGAATAACTTGCGGACGAAATAAAGACCTCATATTTGAAAATCAAATGACCCTAACAAACACTTTTTAACATCACACAACAACATGCCTCAATCCATATAACAAATACAAAGATTTTCCCTTTCAATACAAACTAGCTTTGGTCAACATTCAGAGATCGCATACACATTACGCCAATTGACAAATGTATAGCATAAAACCCATTTCATCGATAAAGCCCGAACCAAAAGCAATAACTCAAATGTGTAATCATTCACAACAATCAAATGAGCAATCTCTAATACGGAAAAACTAAACTAAGTAATAATCTAACTACTCACAACAATCGAATGAACAATCTCTAATAAATCAAACACCACAACAAATCCAGATCCAACGATCCAAACCCAGATCTAAAATTCAAAATGCAAATCAACAAAACCCTAAAAAATCTGAAATTAATTAAAAACAAAAACCCCACATTTCCAAATCACCAATCCCAAAACAAAAACTTTGACCAAATAAAAAAAAAAAGAGATCTTACAGTAATGGGAGATCCAGTATTCAAAACGGGTTGACCACGAACAAGACCTTCAGTACCATCCATAGCAATAGTCCTAACCATACTCTCACCCAAATGCTGAGCAACCTCAAGCACCAATCGAGTCTGATTATCTTGAACCTCAAGAGCAGTCAAGATCGGGGGCAAACCCTCCTCAAACCTAACATCAACAACAGCACCGATCACCTGACAGACCTTTCCAATAGACCCTTTACCGGTAAACTCATCGGTGATCTTACCAGCGCCGGCACCACCGGATTTAGCAGGGGTCGAGGGCTGCGCAGCAGCAGCTGAGGATGTCGCATAATCGGCGACGCGGTTGAGGAGGTAGCCGCGGGAGGAAGCGCGGTGAGCGGGGGAGGGTTTGGGGGAGGAGAGAGAAGGGCGGGAGGATCGGCGGAGGTTGCGAGCGACAGAGTGCATGAGCCTTCGCGTCGCCATTGGAGAGGAGGAGAGAGAAAGAGGAGAGAAAAAATGGGGGAAATTTGGGACTAGGGTTTGAGAAGGTGACTGAGTGTGTGGTCTATATAGGGTCGAATGAACAAGTTTTGATGGTGTTGAGTTAAACGGTGTCGTTTTCCAGAAAGGGAGGAGTTTTCTCTTTGTTGGTGTGAGATTGTTTTACTAATTCACTTCTACTACGTGCGAAGATTTTGGAGGTGGTCATTATTTTTGAATTTTTTCATTGATCCGATTTTTCTTATTTTTTAATTTTTGTGTGTTTTTTAAAGGGGTACCTTTTTCTTAAAGGGGAGGGGTTAACTTTTTTTATTTTTTTTCTTCAAATTTGTCATTTGATTGTGACTAGTCACACCACGTGGTCACTTATTAAATGTTACTATACTAACAACGAAATTATAAATGATCATTCTTTCATTTTCCCTTAATTCAATTAGCCTTTCTCTCCATAGCTATTTGTTGCTCAGTCGCCTGTCCCGACCGCAACCATCCACCACAATGCCACCCACCTCCTAGTCTCCTACCCACCATAATCATGCCTCGCTAAAGGAAGTCCCCGCCGCCACCACCATTATTCAAAAGTCGTCGCGA